CATGTGCCTATTGGAGAGAAGATGACCATAACCAACATGTATCTTTCCGACGACGCCAAGCTTTGGTGGTGACCTAGAACGAGGATGATGCATTTGGGGGAATTGCCAAAATTGAGATGTGGGATACACTGAAAACAGAGTTGAAGGATCAATTCCTCCCTAGCAACATGACCTGGATTGCTAGGGATTCACTCAAGAAATTGAAGCACACCATAACTGTTCATGATTACGTGAAGGAGTTTAGTTCGTTGATGTTAGACATCAAGAATATGTTTGAGGAGGACAAATTCTTCAATTTCATGTCCGGGTTGCAGGGCTAGGCACAGGCCGAAGTGCATAGGTAGAGGGTGCATAATTTGCTCACTGTCATTGCTACTATAGACGACCTGGTTGAAGTCAAAATGGACAGCCATCAGGGTCCTTCTGAAAAGAAAAAGAAGGATGGTGGCGGCAATAACGATAAATCTCACACTTCTAAAGATGCAAAGAAGGCGGATTGAAAGAAAAAGAAGAATGTTGCTGACTCTGAAAAGCCAGACAACAACCAGAAGAAGAAAAACTTTGATATTGGTTACTTTATCTACGATGGCCCCCATCTCGTCAAGGACTGCCTAAGCAGGAGAAGTTAAGTGCCTTCGTTGTTGTAATTGGGGATGAAAGTGACGATGCATGCCCCACTTGAGTAAATCCTCTGTAATTGCTAAACGCAATCACTGTGAGCAAAATTCAGTAACCCTGCAAAGACCTTATGTTTGTACAGGCCTGGGTGAAAGGCAAGAAGGTCTTGGCTATTGTGGATACGGGAGCCACCTATAACTTCGTTGCCCAGAGGGAAATAGGAAAGTTTGTCATACAATTGACAAATAATGTCAGCAAGCTTAAGGCAGTAAATTCTAAAGCAATGTCAATGCATGTCATGACAAAAATATGCCTGAAGGTGGGTCTATGGGAAGGCCATATGCGCTTGATGGTTGTACCCTTGGACAACTTTGATGTCATCCTTAGGAATGAGTTCTTTATCAAGGTAAATGTGGCACTAATGCCACATTTGAATGGGGTGCTGATCTCGGATGAGAAAGCACCACACTTTGTGTTTGCAGTGATGGTAGACCAAAGTAAGAAAGAAGGCAAGCAGAAGATGGAGATGTTATCCGTGAAAGTTGGACTGCGGAAGGGCGAGACGACATACCTCGCAACTATGGTGGAGATCAAACCAAATGTGTTAGTTGAAGTTCTTGATGTAGTGGTAGAAGTTTTGGGGGAATTTGCTGACGTTATACCCGCAGAACTCCCCAAAAACCTTCCATCTAGACGCGTAATTTTACACAAGATCGAGCTAGAGCCTAGTGCAAAGCCTCTAGTCCGTGCCCCTTACCGAATGTCGCTTATGGAACTGGTATAATTGAGGAGGCAATTGAACGAGTTGCTAGATTCTGGCAGTATGAAGCCTTCCAAGGCATCATAGGTTTTGTTCCAAAAGAAGCAAGATGGTATGGTTGACTGTGAATGTGCATCGACTATCGGGTCTTGAACAAGATGACAATCAAGAACAAGTACCCTATTCCAAGCGTTGTTGATTTGTTCAATAGGTTTTTCAAGGCAACATTCTATACGAAGCTGGATCTAAGGACTGGGTATTGGCAAGTTATGATTGCAGGGGGAGATGAGTATAAGACTACGTGTGTGACGACCAAAGGGTTGATTAAAAGCCCTATGCGTGGCTAAGAGAGGCAACTCATGCATGGGCACGTTGGCACAAACAAACAAGGCTAGCTGGGTGGCTCAATTTGTGGGGCATTGCTAGCTTAGAAGACTAAGCCATGAACTGGGCATGGCTTGGCACGAAGGCAAGGCTAATTTTGGTGTTGTGGGCCTATAGGAAAAGGCACATGCACAACATGTGAGTACATTAAGACATGTGCACTGCAGATGGTGGCGATTCCAGATGGTTGCTGCATGTGCATGGCATGCAGGGCGATTTCTGTGTAGTTGTTGACATGTGCGCAGTATGTAGAGAAGTTACAAAAAATTGTTGGCTAGGTCAGCCAACAGTTGTAACTACCTTTGCCACGACCAACACATAGGGGAGGGAGAGTGGTTAAAGGTCTCAGCCATGGTCAGTTGGCTTGTTGGCGAATCTGATGTTGCCTAGGCGGTTGGGCTTGTAACCACCACTTTGTATGCTATATATCGGCATGCCTGGGCTGCAGTGCAACCAAGAGAGTTGGGCACGTTTTGTAAGCCGACCCTTGGCTGAGTTCCCTTTAGGCTTTGCTGAGAAAGAAAGAGGTTTGTCCAATTGGCCTGTAAGTTTGTGTGCTGTTGTGAGTTTGTGTGTTGCCTTTCGTGTGTGATTTTCTGTGAGCATTTGAGCGCAATGGCTGAGACCGAGTACTGTGGGATCTCAATGCCATCACAAGGCAAAAATTCGAGTGAAAATTGAGCCCCGTGACAACTAGCCTCAAGGGTCAAAATCTATCGGATGTAACTGGGTATTTAGAAAGAAATATAATACGGATAGAATTTTACAAAATTTCAAGGTTAGATTAGTAGCCCAAGGGTTCTCACAAAAAGAAAACTAGATTATTTTGACACATATGCACCAATAGCAAAAATAACATGTATTAGAGTACTCATAGCATTAACATCAATTCATAATTTGCATATTCATCAAATGGATTTTAATATTGCATTTTTTAATGGTAGTCTTATTGAGGAAGTCTATATGGAACAACCAGAGGGATTTGTTCTTCTAGGAAATGAAAAGAAAGTATGTAAATTGATCAAGTCTTTGTATGGTTTAAAGCAAGCACCGAAGCAATGGCATGAAAAGTTTAATTCTACAATTTTATCTAATGGTTTCATTCATAATTGTGCTAATCAATGTATTTATTCAGAATTTACGGAAAGTTTGGTGTGATCATTACTCTATATGTTGATGACTTGTTAAAATTTGAAGTACATACTATCTTAGGCATAAAAGTTTAAAAGTATACTAGAGGATATGCTTTGAGTCAGTCTCATTACATTGAGAAATTGTTGCTTAAATATAAGCATCTTGAAATAAAGGAGGCTAGTATGCCTTATGATTTCAATAATAAGTTAACAAAGAATCCTAGTAGAGCAGTGGCACAACTTGAATATGGTACTATTGTTGAAAGTTTAATGTATGCAATGCATTGTACCAAACTAGATATGACATTTGCAGAGTGCAAACTCTTAGGATACACTAGTAAACCTAGTATAGACCATTGAAAAGCAATTAATAGAGTTCTTGAATATCTTAAGAAGATAATTAACTTAGAATTATTTTACTATGACTATCCTCATGTACTAGAAATATACACTAATGCAAGTTGGATTACTAGTATAAGTGATAATAAATCCACATCAGGTTGGATTTTTATGCTCGGAGGTGGACCAATTTGTTAGTCATCTAAGAAACTGACTTGTATATCATATTCAACCATCAAATCTGAACTTATAGCCCTATCAACTGTCGGCAAGGATGTCAAATGGTTGAGAAATTTAATGTTAGATATGAAGTTATGCCCTCAATCGATACCGCCTATTTCCTTGCACAATGATAGTGAAACAACTAAATCTATAGCATATAGCAAGATATATAATGGTAAATCTAGATATCATAGTTTAAGACACAAATATGCTAGATGGTTAATAATGGATGTTATTGTAACCATTATCTATGTAAGGTCTAGCAATAATTTGTTAGATCCTCCAACTAAAGCATTGTCAAGGGATTTGGTGAGAGTTACATCAACTCAAATGGGACTGAAATCCTTTTTTCTTAATAATCACTAGTAATAGTAACCCAACCTTGTCCTACCAAAAACTAGTTCTAAGATTTAAAGGGTAAAAACAAGCTAGTGTTATGCAACTGAAAAAGCACTCAAACTTATATTAATTCTCAATTGGAATTTAGTGGTGACTGTTAGGATAAATAGAAGATGAGTATATACTCTTAATGGAATTAAATTTTACAAATTTCTATAGTATCAAGGATAATGATGGTAAAAGAACTCCACCTATATAAATAAAGAAGTGATGTTGCTTCTAGCAAGAATTTAGGGTTTATTCTTGTAAATATTTATGAACCCAGGATTAGCACATGGTTATAATAATGTTGAGTGACATTTATTGAATCTATATGAACAGGATGTTAGTTTGTGTATGGTACTTTCAATTTTGTCCCATAAAGTACTTCGTTTAATGCTAAGGCAACCAATGACTTGATAAAACTTTAATGTACTTATACTAATTAAAGGTTTAAGTTGAAAAACACCTTCTTGTATTCAAAATGGTATATATTGTGCGATGTTCATAATTATACAATCAAAGTGGGGGATTGTTGAGATTTTATTTATTATTTGATTGAATAATTAATTTGTTGGATAGTTGTGACTATTAGGAAAATTTATTATTTGAATAGTGATGACTATTGGGAAAAGACACTATTGAAGAGATTGACCATTGGGAAAAAAACATCTTTTTAGAAGGGTCACGCCTTTTGAGAAAAAACACCTATTTAGAAGGGTCATGACTTTTAAGGAAAAGACACATATTTAGAGGGTTGTGACTTTTGAGAAAATACACCAAGAAGTCTATAAATAGGACCATAGACTTCATTCACAAATACACTAGAGTTTTGTATAATTCCTCTCTCTCTCNCCACCCCTCCCCCCCCCCTCTTCCCCCCCCCCCCCCCCCCCCTCTCTCGGAATAAAAATTGTTCAAGGAGATTTGTTAGGAAATTGTTAATTATAGTTCTTTACCCAAAGACTTTGTTTTATCCAGGAAGTGATTTTCCAATAACCCTCTAGCAAACTCTTCAAGTGCGAGCAAATATCACTTTAAAGAAAACTATCTTATGCACCTCAAAGTCTTGATTTTATTCTATTTTTCAATCTGCTCTAAACAATTTTCTAACAGCAACTTCGTACCACTTGTTTATGTGCATACTCATTATTATGTTGGAATAGATTTGGGCTCGGGTCGATCCAAGGAGTGACTCGCTGGGGCGATATCTGAGCCGATGCCAAGCAAGTTCCATTGAAGAAAAAGAGCTAATGTATGTGATACTAAGGGTGGAGTTAGTCAATTCAATTCCCTCCGATGCTGAATTCAATATAGTGATATTACTTAGAAGAAGTCAGAAAACAATTAAAAACGTAGCAGCACAATGCCGAGGTGATGTTAGGTTGCCAGAGAGCTAGAGTGTTGAAGGANTGATGCTGAATTCAATATAGTGATATTACTTAGAAGAAGTCAGAAAACAATTAAAAAAGTAGCAGCACAATGCCGAGGTGATGTTAGGTTGCCAGAGAGCTAGAGTGTTGAAGGAAAGAATGATTTTAGGTGAGTACATGGTTTCATAAGAACTGAAAATGAAATGAATTATATATTTTTATCTATCTAGTGCATATATATGAGCTGATTTATAGGAATGACATGTTTATTAATTGTTACGGATCAAGCATGCAACCCCATGGCCTACCAAATTATTCTAAGTATTCTTCCCCTTTAAAAGGAGGTNGAAAGAATGATTTTAGGTGAGTACATGGTTTCATAAGAACTGAAAATGAAATGAATTATATATTTTTATCTATCTAGTGCATATATATGAGCTGATTTATAGGAATGACATGTTTATTAATTGTTACGGATCAAGCATGCAACCCCATGGCCTACAAAATTATTCTAAGTATTCTTCCCCTTTAAAAGGAGGTTATTGCAATGAAATTGACACAATATTAATAAAATATAAATAGAGCAATGCACAAAATATATGAAAATAAGTTCATTAAGAACTTAGTATATTAATGGGTTGATCTTCAGGATCACACTATTCTTTTCGTTCTTTCTCTTTCTCTTTTCAATGCGTCTTTCGTTCGCAGTTTATAGGCATGATTTGCACACAAGTTGGGGGGGGGGGGACAACGCAATTAATGGCCACCTCCCTTTTAGTTGGGTGGTCAGCCACCCTCATAATTTACAACACTCTCCCTTGGATGACCACTATACAAAGATGGTGTTGGACTCACAAATGTTGTCTTATTAAAACCTTGCCAATAAAACTGAATAGGATAAAACCTAGATGAAGGAAAAAGAGTGCATTGTGTAAATTGTACTATATTTTGATGTGGATGCTCCCTCTGATATGAAGATCAATTGAGTTGGTTGCTTGCTCTTAAAAATGGGTTAAGTATAAAAGGTTTCCCAAGCATAGGAAGATTATCGTGTTGTAACTCGGTCGATTTATCAAGGTCATCTCATTAGAGAAAATGAGTCGTTAAAAAAGTTGATGAGCAAAGAAAAATAAAAACTCTGAATTTTTGGAAGATTGGTTGAAGGAATTATCAACTAAGGAATAACAGTTAAAGAAAAGACCGGTTAATAGGCAAAGTTCATCTCACCATGAACAGATATTTTGACCCAAATTTTATAACTCACTCAAAATTGTACTCAAACGCACCCAAGTGGAGAATATTCAATTTACACTCATTAAAAATAACAATTGTATATTTAAGTTGTTTAATCTAATTTGGAAAAAATTAAATTCACATTGATTGCATTGATTCCAAGAATAACCCGTGCCAGGCTTAATTGTCTATGGGTAAGAAGGAAGATATACATAGCGAATGTGTTTTCAACTTTAATCATTCAAACAATCAAATAACTCATTCCTTGGAAAACTCTAATTTGGTCAAAATCCCCATTCACTAATGAGACTCCCTCATCTGATCAAACCAGAAAAATGACTACTCACTCATAATGAAATCGAAAATGAATGGAATTTGAAGAAAATATAATTGTAAATGAACAAGAACAAACTTGAATTGAATTGCAAATAGAAGAAATTACATTGAATTAAATTGCCAAGAATGTAAATCGTTCACTAAAGAGAATTGAAAGTAATCATCTTGCAAGAATTTAAGAACTAGAAATAGAACAAAGCTTGGAATTGAAAACAATGGAAGAACTCTTGAAAAGCAAGAAATTCTAATTCTAAACCTAAGAGAAGAGAAAAACGTCTAAGGAGCTTTCGATCTATGATTTGATCCCCCTTCTTTCTAACTTAGGCTTGGATAGTTATAGGAGAGTATTCGCTGAATATCCTCTCATTTAATCCACCAATCATGGCCCCTTTAAATCCTAGCAGTTTAGTTTTCCAAAGAAGTCCTCGTAGTAAGTAAACACCTACCTACCAATAGAACTGCATTCTATTTCCAACAAATGGTAGTTCTACACAATTACTGGTAAAATAGCCTTTTGTTTAATACCTACCAATAGCAAAGGTTTTTGTTTCACTTCTAGCGGTAGGAATGAACTGCTACTTGTAGAACTCAATTTTGCTTGTTGTTGAGCCTGTAGAAGACTTACTGGTAGAACTGGTATTTTCCTTAATTATGCTTGCAATGCTCTTGCCTTGACTCATGGATCTCCTAACTTGTCCTCCAAGTCCTCCATAGAATTAAATTGAGTATAAAACCTTGCTCTTACACTAATTCAATTACAAACATGAATATTCTCCATAAAAGACAAAACTAAACTAAAACGAGGGAAATAGGTAACTAATATAGCTAAGCTGAATGATATGAGGCCTAAAGCATGCAATATTATGTTCTAATCATTTTTTCACAAACCCGGCCTATTCTGATGTCATATATCAACTTTTTGAATGTTGAGAAGGGTAAAGTTTTAGTGAATAGATCTGAAAGATTATCACTTGATCGTATCTACTTTACTTCAATTGCACAACTTAGCTGGAGTTCATGAGTATAGAAAAAATTTGGTGATATATGTTTGGTTCTATCATCTTTAATAAATCTTCATTTGATTTGTTCAATCAAAATAGTATTATCTTCATACATCTTTGTTGGTGAATCTGTAATTGAAGAAAGTCCACAAGTAATTCAAATGTGATGGACTCCATATCTCAGTCATACACATTCATGGCTTGTTTCGTGGAGTGCTAGTATCTCAGAATTATTAGAGGATGTAGCAACCAAAGTTTGATTTGCAGATTTATGTGGGATTGTTGTATCCATGTTAAACCACTTCAGGACTTTTTCAGTATAGGTTATTTGATGGATAAGGATTCTGTTGGTTGTATGCTCGATTGACAAGTCGAGACAATATTTTATTTTTTCAAGATCTTTCATCTCAAATTATTTTTTCAAATATTCAGCAGCTTTTGCTAACTCTTTAGGAGTTCTAATCAGATGTATATCATTAACATATACTGCAATAATAGCAAATTTAGAATCTGATCTTTTTATAAATACACACAAGCATATGTGCTTGTTTGCATACCCTTCTTTTATCGGATACTCACTAGATAATAATACCAAATTCTGTCAGATTGCTTTAATCTATATAAAGGTCGTCTAAATTTTATTGAGTACATTCTTCGTGGTTTTGATGTATTTGCTTCAAGCAATTTTAGTCAGTCCTTCACGAACTTTCATCTAAATATTGGTATCTAGGATTCCATCTAAATATGTGGTAACTACGTCCATAAGAAGCATGTCAAGTCTTTCTAAGACTGCCAAACTAATTAAGTATCGAAATATAATGGCATCCATTATCAGTGAGTATATTTCATCATAATAATTCTTGTGTCTCTGTAGAAACCCATGTGCCACTGAGTGTGCTTTATATCATGTGATCTCATTTTTATAATTTTATGTTATAACGAATACTCATTTATAACCAATTGGTTTTGTACCATCAGGTGGTGGGACTACAGGTCCAAACACTCCACACTTTTTTAGAGAATCCAATTTTGTTTGGATTGCTTCTTTCCATTTTGGCCAATCATATCTAGATTGATATTCATCAATAGTGTGTGGTTCGAGATCATCATCATTTAAGATTTAAGTAGCCACTGAAAAGAGAATATATCATTTATAACCATTCATTTCTATGCAATCTCGCATTTCTTTTGTGCATGCATAATTAATAGAAATTTCTTTGTTGTCAAATACCTACATCTCTTTAGGAGTCTGTATCTCTTCAAGAGTATGTTTCTCTTTAGGGACTTTTTCCTCTTTAGGATGTATGATTTGAGATAATGTGTGTGCATCTTGGTTTTCAACAACTTCTTTAGGAGTCGTATATTGGACTTTTGTTCTCCTCTTCTAAGGAGCTAAATCTTTCGCATTGATGGGTCATCCACGCTCCAAGCATGAAACTAACGATTCATTTGTTGTTATAGGTTTTCCAATTGAAATATCAATATTTGCTGGAGTATTCGCAGAAGGTATATATGATTTGATTACTTTTACTGCATTAGTATCTACATCAGATAACTAATTAGCAATTTTTTGCAAATGTATGATTCTTTGTACTTCATTTTCATATTGAGAAGTACGTGGATTAAAATGAGACATAGATTGTACTTTTCAAAAGAATTCATACTTCATCCAAGAAGATATACTAGTTAGCCTTGTTGTCAAGCTTGGATCTCTCATCTATAGGAATGTGAACAGATATCCTGCAACCAAACACTCTCAAGTGCTTAACAGAAACATCCTTACTTGTCCAGACTCTTTCAAGAATATCGAAATCCAAAGGAGCTGACAGAGAAAGATTAATCAAATCAATAGTTATCCTCATCATCTCACCCCAAAAAGATGTAGACAATTTCGCATGAGAGAGCATACATATGACTATCTCACAAATCGTTCTGTTCATTCTCTCTACCATCCTGTTATGATATGGAATTTTTGGAATAGTTTTCTCAAGCTTGATACCATGTTTTCTGCAATACTCTTCAAAAGGTCCTTGGTATTCACCATCATTATCTGCTAGGACACACTTTGGCTACCTTCCTATCTCCTTTTCAACTTTCACATTAAAAAACTTTGAATAGATCAGGAGTAGCCCCTAACCCAAACCTAAAAAGGTTATCGATGTTAACCATTTCTCAAAAGCACCTCAAAGTGTTGGGAATAATACCAAAGACCTTAACGAGGTCAGTTGGGAAAAACTCAAGTATCTCCTTTGCAACATCCCAAAAAACTAAGGTTAGTTCAGTCTTCAACAGAGAACTTGATGTCAGAAAGAGAAAGAATGCATAAGTACTTACCCATATTCAAAGGACGAACCCAAATTCATGGAACTCGAAGAGTCTCAACAACTTCTCCCTCAAAATCCAAAGTGTCCCCAAAGACGAGAAAAAGTGGTGCAGCCATCCTTTAGAGGAGCTAGA